CTCCTCCCCTCCCCTCCTCCTCCTCCTCCCCCTCCCCCTTCCTCCCGTCACCCCCTCACTGTGGCACGCCCTTCCCACGTTTCGTGGCCCTACGAAGGCGCCAGTGGCTGCGCTCGCATGCCGCATTCTGTCCACTTTGGCGCACCCTTCACACGTCTCGTGGCCCCATGGGGAGCTCCCTCGAAGGCCCCAGCGGCTGCGTTCACATGCCGCATATTGTCCACTTTGGCCCACCTCTCACACGCTTCGTGGCCCCATAGTGAGCTCCACCGAAGGCTTCAGTGGCTGCGTTCACATGCCGCCTCTTGTCCGCGTTGGCACACCCCTCACACGCTTTATGGCCCCATGGAGAGCTCCACCGAAGGCCCCAGTGGTTTCGGTCGCATGCCGCCCACCCCCCTTCCCCTTCCATCTTGGCACACCCCTCACACGCTTCGTGGCCCCATAGGGAGCTCCACCGACGGCCCCAGTGGCATGGTTCGCATGCGTTTCCCCCACCCAGTACAGCCCTCCGTGGCCCCATGGGTGGCCCCACCGAAGGCCCTAGTGGCGGTGTCCGCATGCCTTTCTCCCACCCAGTACAATGTTTCGTGGCCTCATAGGGAGCGCCACGGAAGGCCCCAGTGGCGGTGTCCGAATGCGTTTCTCCCACCCAGTACAATTTTTCGTGGCCCCATAGCGAGCGCCATTGAAGGCCCCAGTGGCAGTGTTTGCGTGCCTTCTCCCCGCCCAGTACAGCGCTTCGTGGCCACATAGCGAGCCCCACCGAAGGACCCAGCGGCTGCGTCCGCATGCGACTCTTCCACCCAATACAACGTTTTGCAGTCCCTTGGGGAGCCCCAATGAAGGCCTCACTGGCGGTGTCCGCCCGCGCTTCCCCCGCACAGTACAACTCTTCGTGGCCAAGTGGGGAGTTCCACCGAAGGCCCCAGTGGCTATGTCCGCATGCGTTTCCCCCACCCAGCACAGCGCGCCGTGGCCCGGTAGGGATCTCCACCGAAGGCTCCAGTGGCGGCGTTCGCACGCATCTCCTCCACTCAGTACAACTGCTGGTGGCCCCCTAAGGAGATCCCCCGATGGCCTCAGCGGCGGTGTTCGCATGCATCTCCTCCACCCAGTACAACGCGCCAAGGCCCCACAGGGGGCTCCACCGAAGGCCCCACTGGCGGTATTAGCATGCGTCCCCCCACTCAGTACAGCGCTTCGTGGCCCCATGGGGAGCTCCAGTGAAGGCTCGAATAGCGACGTTCGCATGGTGGCCCGCTCCGTGTCGGCACACCCCTCGAATGTTTCGTGGCCCCAGGTGGGGCGCCACCGAAGGCCACAATGGCTGCGCCCGCATGCGTCCCCGTCCATTTTCCAGCACACCTTTTACACGCTTCGTGGCCCCATAAAGAGATCCACCGAAGGCGGTATCCACAATTGAGATATTCACAATTGCATATGGTTGGGACCTTCGCCTGGAGAACTTAAAACGAATACGCGCAGCGCTAGTGCGAAAACTATATGTTGAAAACCATCCGCCCTCAATCCGTGAAATTCTTGCCACTTGTTCCCACAATATTGTACTATTGGGTCCTCGTTTTGCAGAGCGACCCACATCTCACCTCCTCGTTCCTCCTCCCCCTCCTCCCTCTTCCCATCCATGTTTCTGTTCTCCGCATGCCCAGTTCGGCACAACCCCCGCGCGTTTCGTGACCCCATTGGGCACCGAAGGTCGCAGTGGCGCCGCCCGCATGCGTTTCCCCATTCGGTACAGCGCTTCGCGGCCTCATAGGGAGCTCCGCCGAAGCCCCTCGTGGCGGTGCTCGCATGCGACCCCCCCCCCAATACAGCGCTTCGTGGCCCTATGTGAAGTTCCACCAAAGGCCTCACTGCCGGTGTTCGCATGCGTCCCCCCCACCCAGTATAGCGTTTCGTGGCCCCACAGGGAGCTCCACCGAAGGCCCAGGTGGTGGTGTTCGCATGTGTCTCCCCCGCCAGTACAGCGCTTTGTGGTCCCACAGGGAGCTCCACCGAAAGCCTCACTGACGGTGTTCGCATGAGTCTCCCGCACCCAGTACAGCGCTTCGTGGCCCTTATAAAGAGCTTTACCGAAGGCCCCAGTGGCGGTGTTCGCATGAATCCCCCCCGCCCAGCGCAGCGCTTCGTGGCTCCATGGGGGGCCCCACCGAACTCCCCAGTGGCGGTCTTCGCATGCCTCTTGAGCCTCCTGGGCGCCTTTTGGAGTACTCTTGGAAGCTTTCAGCGCCACCCTGAAATCAATCCGTCTAAGAAAGAACAATATGTATTCGGCCCCCCTCTAAAGGCCAACAAGGGCCAAATCATCCGTAGATCAATGATGTTGGCGTTCTCGCCGAGGCCTTCTTGAACGCGCTAATGAGTCGCGTTCCCGCCCCCTTCCACGTCCAGGGAAGGGGGTCATGGGGAGAAGGAACCGTGTCCCCGAAGGTTTCAGAAGGGGGTTCGAAGAAGAGACGGCCTAAACCACTCACACCATAAAGGGCTGGATTCCGATGATCCTCGAAGGGCAGACGCATTCTCGCGGATCGCCCATTCAAACGTCTGTTTCGGCATGACTGTGTACAGCAAGACGAAGGTTTTCGCACACGCACGTGGGAACTCGCTTCTTGGACTGCATCGAAGGCCAAACTTCCGTCATGCGTTCTTTCCAGGGGATGTCACCTCATCAATTTCGGCTAAACGCAGTGCGTCCCATGGGCAATCTGGATGTTGTTGGTGACTAGTGGGGCTTGGGGAGGGTATTGCCAGACGCTTGAGGGAGTGTGGCAGGCCTTCGATACACCACCTACCTGCACTTCTTATCCCGCAAACTGACAATGTGAATGTCAAGTGGCATGGCGACATTCGGTTGATAAGTCCACGACGACGAAATTATCCATATGTAAAGTAATACTCTCACCGTTTGGATTCGGTCCTATTGCGAAACAGTGCATGGCTGCTGTATCGTAGTCTTGCCCAGCCCGATACAACAATACTGAATAGTTATATATATATATATATATATATATATATATATACATATATATATATATACACACATACACACATACATACATACATACATACATACGTACGTACATACATACATACATACAGATGTGGGTAAGAGAGTTTATGAGCGTTGATTTTCAGTACGTCAGCAGAGGGGCCCAGGGGTGGGACGTGTTACAACTCCATATGTTTGAAGCTCAACGGCACAATGATACACTGAAGCAACTTCACAGGTGCCATCCGCGGGCGACCTCTAGACTTCACCCGCGTCGGCCCGTGGACGGGCCTACGAAGTCCTCCCATCGAGCGCCCAGAGATGACGATCGAGGGCGCGGCGGCGTCGCCCGCCGCGGCCATGGCGACGCCCCCCCTCCCAGCCAAGCCGCCTCCGCCAGCCGCACAGGGATGTCGGTGGCGGGCTGTCAGGGGCGGCGTCGGATTGTTCGTGAGCGTCCTGGCTGCGGCGCTGTCCCAGATGGCCGCAGACGGCCGTTCCGCCTCGCCGGGTTCATGCTGAGCTTGCTGCTCGGATTGCCGAGCATGAGAACCTTGCTCCACCATTGCTGGCTCTTCTACGTTGACCAGTCGATTGAAGCGGAGCACATGAGGATGCTGGTGACGGAGCTCCAGCGGCTGGCGCTGGGTTGCGACGTGGGTGCGGCCCCTCCTGATGCAGGCCGTGAGCCTGAGGACGCAGGCGAAGCCCCACCCTGGGGCCCGCTGCCGCCGGGGATCCCGATGATGCCGGGCGTGACAGGCCCAGCTGCCCCTGGCGGCGCAGCGGCTCCCTTCGGAGGGACCGTCGTTCCACCCTCGGCCGCTGCCGCCCCTCCTGGCGCTTCGTTGCTGGGCGACCTCGGTGCCTGGGCGGGCGCCTCCAACCCCATGGGCGGCGACACGCCCGCGAGCAGCCCAGCGGCTGCCGGTGCTTTGGGGGGCGGCCCAGCGGCCGCGGTGCCTGAGTACCGACTTGCGGTGCAGAGCGCGGCCGTGAAGGCCCAAGCCCAGGAGATAAAAGGCGTTCGGGTCGGCGAGGGCCACGGATTTCCAGTGGGGCCGCAGATTTTGGATGGCCGCGTGGGCCATCCAAGCGCGGGGCCAGCTGCAGTCCGAGGTGAAGCGTCTGCTGACTGGCTTCGGCTACGTGGGCGAGCGGACGATGACGGCCCCACGGCAGGAGGAGCTGGTGGCGGCGCTCGATCGACTCGCAGCCCAGGCCGCTCTCTCGACTGCTGGGGGGCCATGGTCCAGAGGCGCGGTGCCGCGTCTGGCTGCAGCCCAGGGCGGCGGAGGAGACCAGGCGGGGTTCGTCTTTGCCCTCGGACATGCGCTGGCCCTGTGATCTACCGAACGATTCGTGGAGAGGGCTCGACGTCGGTGAGGGGCTCGATCGCACAGCGATACCAGGGCAGCCGCTCGACCCCTGTCTGGGTCGACCTGTGGACCCTCGGAACGTCGGTCGACATTCACTTGCGTGACTGCAAGAGCGACATGGAGATCGTGCAGGTGCTGGCAGAAGACGACATGATGGAGATTGCCCTTCGCCGCCTGGCGGCGTACGTGTACGAGCAACGGAGTGGCGACCGCGTCGGCGCATCGCACATGCTGGGGGTCGCGCCGCCTGGCGGCTCGGTCGACGCGGCGCCCACGTGGACGGTGGCTTCGGCGACGACGCACTCCAAGACAAAGCATCAGAGGCGCGAGAGGGTCGAAGCCAAGCTTCGCAGCCGCAAGAAGAAAGGACAAGGGCGACAGCAGGGGACAAGAACAAGAAGGAGAAGGGCGGGAGGGGCGGAGGCGCCCCGTCAACGTCGGCCTAGGATCGGGCCGCGCGCCGCGTCGGGCCTGCGGGCGAGGCGCGGAGCGAAGCGGCGCGGGTTCCTCGGCCGCGCGACGACTCGAGCCCATCATTGAAGCAGGTGATTTCGGCGAGGCCGGGACAGGAGGCGCTGCTACCGATCACGCCCGTGGCCATGCCTCGACAGGCGTCTAGCCGCTCCAGCAGGCTACGCCTTCGATACAAGCGGACGCTCTCTCGCCAACGAGTACGCGCGTTGGATCAACCCCATGGACAGACAGGCTCGTGCAAGGACCTCACCCGATCCCGTCTCCTGAGCGATCTGTCGGAGCAGATGCGGGATCTGCGCGGGTCGGCGCATCTGGTGGCTTTACCAGGAGCTTCACGACTGGCAGAGGCGCGCCGAGATTTAGGTCCGATTGGCGCCCCAGCGGCGTCGGAGCTGTCTCGCGCGGAGGAGATGGGCCATGGCAAGCATATCCGTCCGTGGATGAGCAGAGTCGGTGGACGAGTCGAGCGCGACGAAGTGCGCCCAGGTGTTCGACGCGCCCAGCACGGAGGAGGCACAGTACTACAGCCCAGAGGAGGACGCGGTGGAGCAAGGCGACCTCAGGAGTCGGGCACGGTTTCAGGAGTTGCAAGAGAAGTTCGGCTTCGTGGGCGGGACTCAGCTGGAGTACGAGAAGTATTTTGGCCGCGAGGGCCCCCGCCCAACCCGCGGCACTCCGGCGGCCTGGAGGAGGCGCGGGCGACCGCGGGCATCAGCGCGGCAGGCAAGAAGTCCGGGGGCGACCAAAGCAAGATCATCATGATGGTGGCGGCGAACCATATGTTCAGGGACGCGAGGGAGCGGCCCGAGCACTGGCTGCATGGCGGAGGAGCTCTGGGCCGCCTCCACGCGCCGTCGGACCATTGGGTGGCGTCGGCCTTCGACGAGAGCAACACCTTCTCCTCGGCGGAGGCCTCGAGGTGGATGCGGGGCTGGCTGCGCGCGCCACCCGACCGCGCTCGGGCCGCGCGGGCGCGGCCCTCGCGGGCCCAGCAGGCCTCGCTAGACCAGGGTGCCTGGGTGCGCCCGACGCGGCGCCGCTCGGCGATGGGCAGCGCCCACAGCGCGCACATCCTGATGACCATCAATGCGAGAGTCAGTTCTATGACACTGGTGCGGCCGCCGGCGGGTCAGAGTCGCGGGCAGCTGCCAAAGTGGCGAGCCCCCTTCAAGATGCCCCATGTCAACGACGGACGCCCGCCACCTACCAGTGGCTTCTCGGTGGCAGGATGGCACGAGGGTGCACGACGTGCCCTGTTGAGTGATGAACGAGTCTCTGTTGCGATCCAGGCGTTTGCGGGCCCGCGGCGGGCCGCGGACGCGCGACGCTACCTGGCGCTGGACACGCAGGAGAGGGGCCTGGTGTTGCTTGTGATATCCATGGACTTGGCAGGGGACTCGAGGCGGGACCTGAGCCGGGTCGACACGTCCGAGCAGCTGCGGGCCCTGGCGAGGGAGTGGCTGACGACGGCCGAGCGAACTTGGCTGGACGAGGGCAACCAGCTGATGCTGAACCACCCGACGCTGCGCAGCGGCGCGGCATGCCGCGGAGGCGCCCGGGGGCTGGAGCATCTCGATGACCCGGGGGGGGCGTCGCATCCATCCATCTTCGACACGGACATCTTGAGAGGCCTGGAGACGGGGACAGGAGCTCGGCGGATCTCGTTCGACAAGTGCATGATGGGAGGGGCTTCGCAGAAGCCTAGGAGGGCCACGGGCTCGGTCATGCGGGCTGAGACCGGCGCGCGCAGTTGCGACGGCGCCCCCTTCCTCGCGAGCTGAGCTACAGCATGGTCAACGGGGCCTTCTGGACAATCAAGCTGGCCACCTATCCGCCCGCAATGCGCAGGTGGATGGCGGAGGGCACCGCGACGACGTTGGCGCGCGCGGCGGAGACAGGAGCGGACCCGACGGGCCACCGGCGATCGAGCAGGCGCCCCCCGAGGATCTCGCGTTTCTGGGAGAAGCGAGACAAGGGCGACTTCCTCTTCCTCAACGAGGCCTCCTCGCGAGAGCGAGGAGCCGCGCTGGGCCAGTCGGACACGGGCGTCTACCTCCACGTCGACGACGGCTTGATATCCGCGGACGGGGACCCCAAGGGCTCTGGGGCGGCGAAGGTCAACAAGCTGGTCCATCAGGTGGCGGACGCGCTGGAGGACACGGGCTTCTCTGTCACGAACCGGAGGGGGCGCGACCCGTCCGACCGCGTCGCGGACCACGAGGCCGAGACCACCCCAGCTCGGGCGCGAGCGCCGAAGAGGAAGGCGGCGTTGCGGCACGAGGCGCTGGAGGTGATGACGACGAGGGGGCGGGTGCACCTGGACCACCCAGCGTCCGTCATGGGCGTTTGAATATGGGCCGCGCTGTCGGCCGGGCATTGGCTGTCGGCGCCGCAGCACCACTTCCAGCTCACGCGCCAGGAGGGCCGCTGGCGGCGGAGATGGTGGACTTCCGCGCGGCGGGAGGCGATCGCGATGGGGGCGGCGGTCATTGGGCCTCTACGCCGACCTGGGGGCCTCGCTGCGGCCGCTGCCGTCCGCGACCGACGCGTAGGGGCCCCAGGACTTCGACGCTGGAGGCTTGGGCGCGGTCGTGGCGGCGGCCGACCAGAAGCCGATGGAGAATCTCTGGCGCTTGGGCACGCGGCCTGGAACGGCGGCCGCCAAGCCGCGCCAACTGCAGCAGGTGTCGGACTGGGGGCCGACGCCTCTGGAGCCGCACCTGCCCGCGAGCACCATCGCCAGAGGCTGGATCGACAGTGAGGCGATATGGGTGCTTGCGGAGGTGGGTCGCTGGAATTGGGAGGACCACATCGCGCTGGGAGAGGGCCGCGCGGCCTTGTGGGCCCTGGCGCGGCCAGCAGTCATCCTGTCGGCCCGCCGCTCGAAGATGATCAGCCTCGAGGACAACATGGCTTTCGCCGGCGCCGCGGCGAAGAGTAGTTCCACAGTTGGGCCAGCCAGTTACATTATGAGGAGGAGGTGCGAATTGACCAGCGTTTCGGAGATAAGGATGCCCCTCCCCTGGGCGGAGACGGAGAGGACGCCCGTGGATGGCCTCTCGCGCACGAGAGGACGTGGTTCAGATCCAGAGGGGCACAGCGCCCCAGTGCCGGAAGCAGCGGCGCGCGACTAGCGCACCACCCAAAATTGACGACAGACAGCCCGAGGGCCCCGGAGGACCCGCACCTGGGGGGCCGAGCGCAACCATCTACTTTCCTGACCTACCGACAGCAAGAGGCCGAGTCTTCCAAGTGGTGCTTGCTGGAGGGAGTGCCCCCTTGGACGCCCGACGAGTGGGGCGACACCCTGATGGAGTACCAAGCTATCTCCGACCCTCACAAGAGTCACTTCACGAGCCTGCTCGCTGCCATCGGGTTCAAGTTTCCGCGGCTGCACGGCCACTTACGTCGATGCTACGCGGCCTTGCGTGGCTGGGAGCTGTCAGACCAGACGAAGCACACCGCACCGATGGTGGGCACGGCCCAGGCCTTCATCAGCGCGCGCTTCTGTGCACGAGGACTGCCGAGACTCGGCATCGGTGTGATGTGGCAGGGAAAAGTGGGCACGCGCCCAAGCGAGATGTTGGGACTCGTCACGTCAGATCTCATCCGTCCTGGGGAGTCGGGGTATGTCCCTGGGCGTGGGCCTCTTATTGTGGCCCTGGCCACTACCAATGCGAAAAGGCCCCAGTCGAACTCGATCCTGGAGTCTGACAACCCCGTCCTGGTGAACACCCTGAGGCTCTTCAAGGCTCCCACGGCCCCTGGAGGTCGCCTTTCCCCGTACATCCTGGAGCAGCACCGTAAGAATCTCGTCCAGGTCCAGAAGGAGAGCCAGCTACAGGCGGGTTGGAACCCCCCACAGTACCCGAGCGGGGCTCGCTTCAGAGGCCAGTGCGCGAGGTATTTCTTTCGAGTAGCTTCGGGGGACAGGCAGGTAGAACGTCGACAGTTCGCTTCGAGTCTGCATCGACATGGCACAGGCCGCCCACGTAGCCGCGGCGCTCAAGGCGACTGGCTGGAGGCCTGCTCGACTGGGCGGCCCGAGACTGGGCGCGAGTCGCCGCGCGGGCGCCCGATGGCTCCGAAGGACAGCAGACGCCCCCCGCACGGCACCCGGGTGAGCCCGTTGTCGACGGGCCCACGCGATACTACACTTCCGCCCTCACCGCTTGGTTCGACCCCAGGATGTGGCTCCTGGATCATGGCGAGCTCTTCACCTCCCTCGTCTGCTCACCTTACCCCGTTTTCGACGCGCCCCATTCCGCGGCGGCAGCGACGACGAAGCGCACTGGACGGAGACGCTCGTCGTGCCCGCGGGCGCGTTAGGCGCGCAAGGCCATAAGTTGGCGCATCAACGGTTGCGCGTGCACCATCCTGATATTTGCAATGCTGGCGCCAGCCGCCTGGAGCCCGCTGCTGGCGCGCTCAGTCTGCATGGCCTCGGACGTTGCCGAGGAGAAGGCAGAGCCGCAGGCAGGATGATGGGAGCTACGTCCAGTGTCTCTTCCAGCGCAGCGCGTTACCTTTCAGCCACCACAGACAACGCGCTTGACCTGGCCGATGCACCGTGGAAGGGCATTGGTTTGACTACCGCCTCAGATAACGCTTCCGCCTCAGATAACGCGATCCTGCGCCGCAAGGCTACTGGCGGGGGTCGCCGTGGGACATCCTGGCGTTCGCCGCCCCGGAACGGCCCCTTCTCGAGATCCAGCGCCAGCGCTTTTCAGCGCCGGGGCTCCCGCGTCGCTGAACTTGAGGGTCGCGCAGCTCGAGACGGGCCACGTCGGCATCGCGTGGCGGACGGCAGAAGTTACCTTCGCGGCGAAGTTGTGCAATCCACTGTGGGGCTTGTGGTCTGACATCACAGCTGAGTACAACCGCGTCGCCGAGCTGCATCACGAGGCCACGGAGAACGCCATCTCCCGACCCGACCTCTCGCCCGCCCCATGCTGTGCGAGGCGCCGGCGCCGGCGCCCCCGAGCTGGCCAGTTCGGGCGTGGCGCCCGAGCCAACGCTGGGAGACGCAAGCTTTCGGATCGCGCGTTGGAGGCGGGAGATCAGCTACCTCGCCGCCGCCGCCGCGGCTTCCCGGCGACCAGGGGGCGAGGGGCGACGACGCCGTCGACGGCAGCAGCAGCAGGGGCCCAGAGGGCGACAGCTCGACCGCGAGCGGAGGCGGGCGGCGGTGAGTGAGATAGATGACGTTGTTTCAGGGCGCGGGCAGATTTTTGCACACTGCGCAGCGTGACAGAACACGTTCATTATTTCTTGGAGGGAGCTTGCCGCTGTCGAACGCTTCTTTTGATACACGCATTGGTGACAAGCTTATTCCAGCATCCATCGAGGTCTCTTGTGAATTGGAGTTGGCACAGGCAGTTTTCTTTCTTCCGCGGCGCTTCGCGCTCATCACGGCTCGGGGGTTCTAAATTCAGGACTTTTGAAGCCTCGTGCAAGGGTTGGAGGAGCCGTCTCAGGTTTGCGCCTGAGGTGGGCGAGAGAGTTCACGAGCGTTGAGTTTCAGTAGGTCAGCAGAGGGGCCCAGGGGCGGGACGCGCTGCAACTCCATAGTTTCCAAGTTCAATGGCACCCACCCTGGGTTCGCAGCACTTTCACAGGCGCCCGTCAGTTCCGACCCTCCAGGCGCGTGAGAGACGCTCTTGGGGGCCTGGCCTCGCTGCTTGCGACCCAGCCCCCCCTCGCTCGATCAGATGACGTTGTCGAAGGATGCGAGCAAATTGTTTTGCAATGTGCACTGTGCCTTCGCTACTTTTTGAATTCATTGCGGTCGACCGCTTCGATGCACATACAGTGACGAGGATGTTCCACTATCCATGGAGGTCTTTCGTGAAAAACAGAGTTGGCAGAGACAGTTTGCTGTATGCCGTGGCGACCCTTCCTGGGCGTTCCGCGCTCGACACGGTTCTAGAGTTAGTTCATGATTTCTGCAGCGTTTTGTGAAAGGTGGGAGGCACCATTTTAAGTTTGCGCCTGGCATATATACATACGTAAACACACATACACACACATACATACATACACACATACATACATACATACACACACAGAAACATACACCTCCAGGCACACACACATACATAGATAGATACATATAACGGTACGTATGTTTATACATGATTGTGTGTCGATTTGTGTATATATATATATATATACACACATCGAGAAAGAGAGAGAGAGAGAGAGAGAAAGAGAGAGACCTTCAGACATACACGCGTACATACATGGATTCATATATCGATACGTATACGTATACATGTGTATGAGTGTTGACATATATATAAAATATATATATTTATATATATATATAATATATATATACACACACACACACCTATTACATATACATATATATTATAGAGATAGAGAGAGAGAGACACTTGTATGCTGTATTTAACAGCACCCACACACACACGCACATCCTCTATATAATATATATATAATATATATATATATATATATATATAATATTATTATATAATTATATATATATTATAGTTGGGTGTGTGTGTGTGTGTGTGTGTGTGTGTGTGTGTGTGTGTGTGTGTGTGTGCGTGTATATTCTCGTACGCATTTTTCCGAGGAAGATTAATGCACGTGGTTCGCAAGTTTCTCACCGTGTTTCTGGGTACAATTCTGAACATCGGCGGTGTAACACATACGAATTTCAATATTTCCACATAAAAGTACCAAAAAAAAATGTGACCCCGATTTTAAGGGAAAGACCGTTTCGTATAAGACTAAATCGAGCAGATACATGATTATGGGTTTTGTTGTGTAGAGAATCTCATTGTTTTGTAGATACATATTTAGATTACGTTTAAATTGAGAACTAACAGTTACCAATATATAATTAGAGAAAATATTAGTGTATTCGGAAACACATAGTTAAGTATATTGATATAGTTCTGCGTTTGTGTGTTTGTTGTTGTTAATGATTATTTCGTATTATTGATACTTCAAATTGAGTTGTAGTTTTGTCTCAAATTCAGTTGATAGTCAAATTGAGGACGAGATGATCGATGTACGTTCTCGTGTTTTTTTTCTTCGAATTTCTTTTTTTTTATTCTTATTCGTTCTGCGTGCGGTTTTGTTTTTAATTCCATCAATGTTTGGAAAGTTAAGCAAGATTCTAAATGATGTATTTTGTTTTTGATTCGGCTCATTTTATCTTATCATTGGATATTTCAATTTACGATTTTGTAATCTGATGAGTTTCGGCAAGATACTGTTGTTTTTGTTTTCGAATCATACCGTTTGTGTCGGTAAAATTTGGTTCAATGTGTTGTGTTGGCGCCTGAGTTATTGGTTATATGTTTGCAAGACGCGATAGTCACCAGCAGAGTTTTAGTGTAATTTTCGTTTGCAGACGCGATTAATTTGCATCATACACATTAATTTCGGTACAGTAATTTTGTCATGTTTAAAGGTTTTTTTAAAATTGGGATCTAGTTCGGTTCGCAGACCGAGTTCAGATATCTCGATGCAACAGACGAACACATTTCATTGTTTTTTTCTGAGGCTTGTTGTTGTGTTTTATCTTTTGAAGTCAACATACGGACACTGCATATCAAGATTATTCGAAAGAGTCGCGAGTGTGTGTTTTTTTTTTTTCCCCGTGATAAATATCCGATCGAGGTAAGTTTCGGAATAGAATCCATCACAGGAAATAATCATAACGTTTAAACGATTTTAGAAGTTTAAAAGTAAAATTTCTATTGATTGTTTTTTTCGAGCCTGTCAGATTTTCTACCACAGCTTAATGTCTAGTAAATACAGTTTGCCAGATAATGTGATAAATGAGTTTTCTGTGTTTAATGATTCGATTGATTCGAACGTTGTTTTAAGAGTGCGGTTGTGTGTCGCTGGGTTTGTGTTTCCGGAGTTCCGTTTGGATAGCGCCACTTGATTTGGTTTCTGATCGAGTTTCAAAGCATTCCGCGAATTTGCATTGCCAGTGTGTCGGCATATCATCCATTGTCCTCAGTGGCTATTTCCCTGGTTACTTGATGTTCCCTCTTCACAAGCGCCGTGTTTTCTCAGACCAGGCAATTGTCGAGATGTCTATGCGAAGCAGTTAGAACGCATCATCGGTAGATTGTTTGTTCCGCGTTTCTCGAGTTAGGTGCTGGGCTGTTGCAGTTTGTTCATTGTAGCGAACATGAAGCACGAGACGCAGTTTGATTTTACGTTTTTTTCTGGCTGTTTTTTTTTTTGGTTTCTGTATTTTGCTATATTTTCTGATGTTTCTGGCGTTTTCGACTCGAGTTGTTGTGGTTCAAGTTGTTCTGGCGAGAGTTCAACATACCAAACTTGCCGGGGCGGTTTACTATCACAGTTTGTACAATTCTCGCCGTTCATTCCCTCAGTCACCATCCTCGCACCTGTTCGATTTCCGAAGTCTGCAGCCATGTCCGTGCCGCTACTAGCTCATGGAGGCTTGCAGGACCAGTCGATCCCAGTCGGGCACCTGGAACCGGCCCTATGAGTGGCAGTGCCCGGCCGGGGTCGGTCTTGTCCCCCCGGGTCAGGGCGCGTGTTCCCTCTCACAGCTCTGCCACCAGCGCTCCTTTGCAGCAAGTCGATTTTGTCGAATCCGTTCATGAGCCGACGTCTCCTGGACGTCCGCGTCGGAGGGCGAGAAGTTGGATTTCATTATTCAGAACGCCACGTCTGCTATGACCAATACGCAGATTTCCATGATGAAATCCACGAAAGTTTTGATTCAGCAGTGTGAGACGAAGCTCAGAAAGAATATTCAGGAGCTGATCGACCCGAAAGCGGACATTACGACCATTCAGTCCCAGATGGCTTCGTTGTCTTCCGGTTCGGGGGGCGTACCGGGCAGGAGTTCGAAGCAGCAGATTGCGCTCATGAACTTGATG